ATGGTTTTAATAAACTTGAAAACTATTAATTGTTAATCCAGTTTGGGCAGATAATGCAGATGCTGTCAGTATTCCATACTCCGGAACAGGTGCCATGAAAACTGATTATACTAGGTACGTTATTTTTATCGCATTTCAGTCTATTTGCTTTACATATTTTAAAACTAATTTTGTAATTTAAAGAACTGGTAAGAGAACTAAGCAAGGGGCTGCCATGGATTTACAAACTGCTGTTACTCGTTATGTGATGAATAACTTTATGGATGGGTCACGACAGGTTAGTTTCTTATAGTCGTAAGCAATTATTGACATTTATAGATAATATGATTATATATCTATTTCTCTTAGGATGCATATGATCTATTATTGGGCAATTATGAAGTTGAGTTCGGCGTGTCACCATTCATTGACAATCGGTCGTTCCAAACTAAAATAGTAAGTCAATTTAACTATCGAATTATGTAACAATTTCCTACTGTCATTTGTTAGTGTCTAAATCATTTGCGCGATATAGATTCCTCAAATATTAGCGGCATGCATTGTTTTCTTCTTATTTTTATACACGATTTCAAAATCTGGTAGGTCTTGTTTCTTAATTCCAGTAACGTCGCTGCCAATCGAAATTTTACATTTTATTTGTCAATGCAATTTATTAACTTCTTTAATTTACAGATTTTGCCTACTTAATACGTTTCATAATGGTCATCGATTTTATTGCTATTACGTTCCTCATTCGTTATATTGTGGTCCACGGAACTGATTTTGTAGATTGGCCTAGTCTTGTTCCGCCAAGTTATCGACTTCATCAATGGAATAATACAGCACCGTACCAGAAGATAAGAAAAACAAGACGACATAGTGATTCAGAACATGGCGAGAAGATTGATTAACTTCGAAGAATTGGGTAGATAGGAAAGAATACAATTCTATAATTTTTATTTTTCTTTTAATATCATTTTAATTTATTACTTTAAATATTTTAAGAGAATTTACGTCATTTATTTAAATATCAAATAGAATTTTATAAAGTATTTTATTGGTTGTCAGTTGTTTTATTGATAAAAAATTGACAGATAGACTAGAGTTTGAAACAGCTGTATAATCAATACTCTATTGAGTCAATAAATTAAATTAAATATGGGCTTTGTAATAATGTCTGGTTTCGCATAAATTTTTACATTCATCTGATTATAAACCGACGTCATCTTTGATGTCTTTATTTGTGATCTATCAGCAGAACGCATTCAACTTTGGTATCTGACTAGTGATGCAGAAGAATCGTCCCAATGATGTCGAATGATAGTTGTCACATGGCTGTAACTTGCCGTAACTATAGT